AGGGCAACGGCTCCCATACATTCAGAAAGGGGGGCCGCCCCACAGCCCACAACCTGTCTCTTATACACATCTAGATGTGTACCTCGCCCCTGTGCAGACACCTTCGAAAATCTATGCCACCTACTCAACCCGCTTCTTATTGTTTTTGTTTTTTTTTTTTTTTTTTTTTTTTTTTTTTGTGCTATTTTTAGAACACACTGTTTCGGGGGTTGACTCTTTTTTTTTTTTTTTTTTTCCCCGACTCTATTTATAGAACGAGGGTCTATTGGAGCTCCCTTGGAAAAATTCACCCAGCCTCTGTTTGGCTGATGAATGGTACAGAAATCACAAATGCTACCGTCTTCACCCGAATAGAACGTCCGGTCAATATAGCTGTATTTGGTGCAACTTGCAGTCCAGATACGGCCAGGCGGTAGGGCCCGTTAGCTAAAAAGATCATGAGTTCAAGTCCTACGATGGAACAGAGCGATCGATAGAAAAAAAAGAAGGGAGAGGATCTACCCCCCTCGTACAAAAAAAAAAAAAAAAAAAAAAAAAGAAAAATCAGTGCAACATTTTTCTTTTACCAAAAAATGAATATACAGTGCATAAAGAATGAGCTCGCTGTTATCACTGCAGGGTACAATCCATTTCATTAAATTAACTATTTACAAAAAAAAAAAAAGGAACCCCCCCCCCACACAAAAGGCAAGCAGTCAAATGCCATGTACTGTATATTTGCTCGCAATTTTTCTCTTTCTTTCTTTCTTTTGCTCTTTCTTTGTTTTTTATTTTTTTTCCCTTTTTCTTTTTTCATCGCTCACAATGCTCGACGCACAGAAACGAAAAAAAGAAAAGAAACGAAAATAGCACAAAAACAACAAAAAAAACAAAAAAGCACTCTCCTCATGGCTACCGCGATCCCTTCTACGTAGGATTCGTGAAGCCACCAGGCCTCAACATGGTGCACATTACATATATATCGTCCAACAGAAGAACTGCGTTAGGTAAACCGTGGGGGCAGAGAGGGAGGGAGGGAGGGAGAAGACAACAAACGAGAGAGGGCCTGCGACAAAAACTGTTTCGTCGACTTTCACCGACTCATCAGGAGGCGACCTCCGAGGGATTGGGAGGCTGAGAGGAATGGGGATGGGGTTTCTACAAATGGAACAACGGAGCGATCGGAGGATAAGAGGGAGGGTTCCCATTCGGGACATCCATTCAAATTGGAACGAACAGAGAAGATTCGCATGGCCCGTGCGCAAGGATAACACGGCATAAATCGACAGATTGACCCAATTAAAAAAAAAAAAAAAAAAACACAAAAAAAAAAGGGACAGGATTTTGTCAAGAGTTCTCAAACGGCGCGATTCAATTAATAAAGGAATGCCACGATCGGGACGAGGCAACCATCGCTCGAATCCTCGAGAGGGGGGG